AAAGTAGAGGCAAATCCAATTCCTAACTCCTCACAGGCACCTTTTTTCCTGCTCAAAGAAACAGAGGAAAGTGGAATTTCTTCCACCTTTTCAAAGAGTTTTCACACTTTCCAGGAATGTGGGGTCCCCAAAGCCCAATTAGCTCAGGCTTTCCCTGTAATTTGGATGCACAGTTTAACTCTCATCTTCCTCCATCCTGGCAACCACTCTGTTTCTGGGGCTCTGAAGCCAGAGATGTCTGCCCCTGCTTTCTGATAACTCTGTCTCTAGACTTTTGTCCCACTCAGGGCACACTGGTCAGTTCTTAAACTCTTCAACCTGGCTTGGGGGTATTCAGGGAGCACCCACACTGAACACACCCATGAAACCCAAACATAGTACCAGCTCCCTTCTGAATGTGAGAATAACCCAGCCTCCAGGCAATCAGCATGCTCACCACCACCCCTAGCCTCTCCTAGGTCTGAGCTGTCTTTTTCCATCCCTCCCAGGCAGACAGTGCTCGGTCCTCGGTGCTCTTGGAAACAATGGCGCTCCCTCTGGGTTGGCTCCTTAGGTCCCAGCGTGTGGGGAAGCATGCCCTGCAACCCAGCACTGAACAAAGTGGCTGGAAGCATCATCAATAAAATGGCAGCGCATCTGTACATTTCCTCCATCGATTTTCCTCTTGCATCTGCTCAGGCTGCCCAGGTCAGCCCTAACCCTCCATCCCCACCAGCAAACACTACTGATCTAGGAAATATTTCCCTTCTTCTCTACCCGTCCCCCACGCCTTCCGAGAGGTCTTGCCCTCCAGCTCTGTGCTCCGCCACCTCGGCCTGCGCCCGGCACTTCAGGACCCTCCCTCTGCTTGGGGCTGAGCTCCTGGGACTCCAGCCTGGCAGTGGACAAAGCCACCCCCATACTAGAGACTACTGGGCCCACCTAGTAGCTCCCAAGTACTCCTTTCTTTATAACCCTCAATTTTCCAGGGAATTAAACTCAGAGTCTGAGGTACTACTGGGAATCTTTCAAACGGTTTCGTTTCCAAAAGAGAAACAAAGGAAGAGAAAGGCTGAGGGTCCTGTCCATAAGCCAGGGTCTCCTCGCCTGACCTTTGTCTCTCACAGCTATAACTCACTCTAGATATGAACAATCAACGGAAATACCTTAAAATAAATTCCATCCTCTCGGTGTAGCCTCCAGTCCCATCAGCTAGCTCTCCTAGAACCGCTCCATGAGCACTGAAAACTGCAACCCGCTGGAAGAGCACTCTCCGGAGAAGGGGAAGGAGAAGGAGAAGGAGGAGGTGGGTACGTGGGGGTGGGGGAAAAGCTCTCTCTCTGTAGAGAATCTAGAAAACGTAATCACAGGCAAAGCCTGCCTGGGTCTTCGCTCCAAATGCCACAATAATGTGCTGTATTATGTGCTCACGTGGTCATACGTCAACTTAAATCCTTTTATTTGAAATAGGGAATCACTGAAGGAACTAGGTTTCCAAGCCGAACATTTAGCTTTGGGGGAAGAGAAAAGGGGGACCTTGACCAGTAGTCAGTAAGTGTACTAAGTAGTAGGATGCTGGGGGCCACTCCGACTACATACACACAGACATGCCACACAAGGTGCTTATCTCCACTTATATTTCTTGAAACACACTCCAAACATGAGGGAACAGCAATGCTATCCATATTCTGAGAGTCCACTTAACTTTCCTTATGACCTTCCTACCACCGCAGACAAACTGAATTCAGCACTCCCAAGTCCCCTGTCTCCTCTGGCCCACAGGCCAGAATATGGAAAGGCAAGAGAGAAGCCTGAAAACAACTGGCCTATCATAACCAGTGGAGTTTGTAACACCCACAAAATATACTATATCTACTGGAGACATGAAAAAATGCCTATGATTACCTGACACAATGTTACAACTTCTTCTCCAAATCCAGCCAATTCTGTTCAATGGGCGCCTACTAGCAAAGATATGCTTGGCTTTAAAGCAGTGAGTCAAAGTTTTGAAAAATCTGGAGGACATATGCCCTGGCCAAATCTGCACTTATACATTTACTCAGTGTATAGCTGAGTGTTACATAAAATTGTTAGAAGAAAAATGTAAGGGGAAATTATCTATATGCCTCTATAAGAGGGGTTGGGGGAAAGTACCAACCTTCACTGGGGTCCTTTGTGCTAACCTATAAGACAACTTGTGACCCTCTCTGCAGAAGGGTCTGTCTACCCTCCCCTAAGACAACTCTATATCTATCAGCAGAAGCTGAACTGAACCAATTCTGTTCTGGAAGAATCTGGTTAAAATAAATAAGCTGCACCCCAGGCTTTACCCTAACTTGTGCCTTTTGCTTGGTGACACTGCCCATTCATTTCAATACTTCAACCCTTCACAAGTTTCCCTTTTCTGGTCTTAGTTTCTGAACTTTGAGTGCTCTAAGGCCAGTGAGCTCCTCAAGCTATATTCTTTTGTTCCTTAAGAGTGTGTCTTAAGCTGGTTATCTCTAAGTCTTAGGACTCAATTGTAGCAGCTGCAGAATGTTCCCTTTCCCTCCTTCCTTGAAAGGGAACAGGAGTCTGATGAGAATATAACGCCCTAGTAAGGGGGCCTGGTCATGGGGGTGTCCAAATCAGGCAGGCAATAAAAGACCTAAGCCCTTAGAAGCAAGCCCTGGACAAAGCTGGTGGCAGTACTGCCATAAGATTCTGTTTGTGGTATAGCTGGAAGAGGACCTCTATGTGACCTTTCCCACATCTGACCTAAATCAGAAGCTGAAAAGTCAGAACCCAAAGTGAAAACTTGCCTCTCTCAGATTTGGGAGATGGGGAACAGGATCATGGTTGGTTTCCAAAATGAATTCTCCTGTCCCCCAAGAACTTAGTCCATTCATTCTTGTGCCTCTTGCACCTTATGAACCTCCATTCATTCACATTGAACACTCTACCCTAGAAAGAACTTGGAAGTATTGCCCACTTGCTGACAACTTCCCCCACCCCAGTTTCTATAGAAGCATCTACCCACAGATGAAAAGGGGCCCCCTTTAGAACTCTCAGGAGAGTTTTGGACAAATTGAAACTTTTGAGGTCATAAATCAACGGCAGAAGGCACTGGTACTGCTTCAGAGAAATACCTTAATGCCAGCAGGGCCCAGAAGCATCTCAGCTCAATCCTAGAGCCTGTATGCAGTTACCATCCCAGTTAATAATCGAACTGCTGTTTAAAAATTAACATGAAGCACTTGAGATGCAGTGATTTGGTAGGATGAGAAGGGAAAAGGAAAGCCAAAAGAACTTAACTTTTGAGGTAAAAATGACACCCCCCACCCCTACAAGAGAGATTTTGAGCTGGGCAATTCACAGAAGACCCAACAGCTGAGAGTCTTCCTTCACCACTCTGAATTCTGTTTTCCTGGAGCCAAGCTATAAGCCTTTTAAAACCTCAGCTACCAATCTCCTTCCACTTATCCCACTAGCCTCCAACTTGACCAGGCTGTGATCCAGGCCACCAGCCAAAATAGGAAGAAAGTTGGCTTGGAAGGAGCAGGCAACCAAGGATACAGACCCTTAGTCAATATTTGCAAGGCTGTTAGCAGATTAGCTATATCTATACTCAAATACTGCAATCTGATAACTCTATCAAAACTACACTCAACATTTTTGTTGACTCTATTGGTTTTGCCACTCAGCATCAGGTCTCAGCCCACTGAGTGTGTGTGTGTGTGTGTGTGTGTGTGTGTGTGTGTGTGTAGATGATAGATTATTATTTAACATGAGATATCCCCTGTGGTTGCAACTGCAGTATAAATGGGCTCCAAATTCTCTGGATATTTGTATCATGTTATACACATGGCCCCAAACTCTTGCAGCTATTATACCTGCAATTGTTCTGTTGTTTGCAGAAATGCAAATCATGTATACACACCGAGTTGCAAGTTCCTAAACTGTTCCATCTATATTTGATATGAACAGATATACAGTTGCTGAGAAAATATTATTACTATTATTCTGTTCACTTCCTATCTGATAAAATAATAATTTTATCTAGAGCACCATACCACCACTGAATAGCATGTTGCAATTAATTAACAAGTTGATATCTATCTGGGGAGCAAATTTTAGGGAGCACTTAGATCTAAGGAATAGAAAACAAAATTTCAAAAACTCTTTTAAAATAAGTAATTCCTGAAACAATAAAGCAAATTCATTTGTTCATACCAAGCTTCTGAAAGCTATTCCAGCAGCCCCTCCCCCAAACAGGCACATAATTTATGGATCTTTTACAAGGTAATAAACCACAGTAATTACCTCCCTGCATCCCAAACTAAGAGAACAAATTAAGTCAGAACTTGAAAAGAATTTTAAAGAGTTTTTCCTTGTTCCAAATAGGAAAAGAAAATGTTAGGATTAGAAAGTGGTAGTTTTTCCTGTAGGAAGAACCGTGGGTCATCCCTGATGAAAAGCTGAAGGAGATCCGTTGGCTCCAAAGGCCTACACATTCAAATACAGTCTCTCACTGGATAGGAAAAAGAATGAGTGAAACTGCAAGGCACTGAGACAAGTTTCCTCAACCCAGAGAGCTGGTATTTCCAAACTCACAGCGCTGGTTCTGGTATTTTCAAACTCACAGCCCCAGTGCAGCTGCCTCGGAAGAAAAGGGGAGCAGCCCACGCAGCCGCTGCTGCGCCCATGGCCTCTACTTGCTTTTACCTTGCAGTTCCTTGTGTATTTTACAGGAAGACACAAACACCCCCTCTGGCTCCCTCCACCCCATCTTTGGCTTCTGCAACCGCTCAACTCCTTCAGCTTATCTGCTGGCTTTAGGGCAGACTCTTTGTCTGCTTCAAGTCCCGCATTGTCGGGGCGTGCAGCTAAAGGGAAGCCTGCTCCCAAACTCCTCCAAAGTTAAATATTGACCAGAATCTCTTTCAACCAGCTGTAGTTGCCAGGAGCTGGGGAAGGACAAACTCCTTCCTAATGCCTGGTGCAAAGTCCTGCTCTGGGAAGAGTTTTGGCAGAACGCTTACCTCCAAAGATGTTTAAATCTGAACCAGGAATTGTCTCCAACTCCAGGCGCTCAGGGAATCTCCTTTTCCGGTGTCCAGGCGGTCTGTGGACAAATAAACAGCAGAGGGTGAACGGTCGCTGCGAAGAAAGGGAGTCGGATGATCGGAGTTGGAAATGCGGCCTGCGCGGGCGCCAGGGTGGCCCCGGGGGTGACGCCGACACGGAGGAGTCGCCAGGGCACTCGTCCATGCGACGCGTTCATAGCTCGAAATGTTCCAGTCTACAAATGGCCCGAAGATGGTGATTTATTTCTGTAAAATAAATACATACTCCATCTCCACATCCACACTCTCTCCTTTTTCTTTCTTTTTTGGGAGAGGAGGGAGAAGAAAATGGACAGAGAAGGAAGAGAGGTGAAGAGGCTTTGCTGGTCGCATTGGTTCCTCTGGGAGAGCTCCTCGGGCACCCCGACTTGGGGAATGTGAATGCACGCTTTATTTTCTTTTGCTAACAAAGGGAAGCCTTGTCTGGAAGCATTCAATCACAGACTCTCCAGAAACCTCACTAATAGCGTTCATTTCTGTTGGCGCGAAATCAGACCCCAGCTCAGTCCACAAACCAGAGACAGTCTTGGGAGGTTTTGTCCTCAGGTTCATTCAAGTACTAGACCAGCCACTTCTTGGTTCTGGTGGGCTGGCAGGACTACCCAAGCACTCACTTCTCAGAGCCAGTCAAATACTTCTGCTGGAAATGGGCAAAGCCAGGGCTCTGGGCAATATTAATATTCCAGTATTAGATTAGGGGGCCTACTCCTGCCCTGCCCTGCCCTGCCCTGCACAACAGCCACAAGCTGGCTCAACTCTGTAGTACTGCTTCAACCTCATTGGTAACAATATTTGCAACTCTCTTACACTTTTACCAGCAATCATGGGTTGTAGAGACCTCAGCCAACTTTCTGGGGTGAGAGTTGCTGGGGAAGGAACAGAGAATCATCCCAGAGCTCTGGGCTCTGGCTGCGAGAAGTTCTACCCTCTACTTGGACTCTCCACAGGGCATTTGCTTCTACAGCCCTAACCCTGAATCCATTCCTCTTTAATCCAGACCTAGATAACTTCCCACATTGCAGCTTGGTTCAAATTCGTCCTCCACTGTCTCCTACATCCATGTAATCCTGCTGAGAGCACTGAGAGGGACTACCAAATAGCTGACAAGCCTCCTGACCCCTGGTTTCACAGCCCTCTAGCATGCTGAACAAGTAGCAGCAAACTGGCAGCTGCCTTCTGCCACTACTAGACTCACAGCCTTTACTCTTAGTCTGGTACTTGGGACTCAGAAACCATGCTGGGCCCCTTTCTCTTGTTCAAACTCTCACTGTTGCCTTCATTGGGACTGCCCTTGTCCTTAGGGCTCCTATGTGACCCTGAGCAGGGTGGAGTTCAGCCATCTTGCACTTTGCCACTCAACTTCACCCCAGAAAGAGACACGTTATGCCAGGACTTACCACCACCACCCTGCTCCAGGCTTAGGAGTATTGCAATTATTATTATTATTGCTATTTCCTTATTCCCAAGTCTGATATTCATGGCTATTGTTCCCCATAAATCTTTTAGACTAATAAATCACAGAAAGATGTTGCCTAGGTCTCTTGCTCTACAACGGATGCCACCACTGCTGTGGCCCCTCTCTACGTTTTTGGCGTTGGCTTGCTCCCTAGCTTGCCCAGCGCGGGTGATTTATGAATGCCGGGAAAATTGAACAAAGCCGCTCGCCCGTCCTGTGGTATCTCTGCAGCCTTCCCCAGCGTGAATCAGAACATTACCAACTGTCTGCGCATCCGTCCTACTTCATCACCAAAGCCAGGATGTGACCGCAAAAAGCACAAGCCCGAACTCACGTTTCACCAGATGCAGTGTGCTCCCTGGACCCGCAGAAACCCTGAAGAAAAGAAAAGCCCCAGGACCCAGCAAGGGCCTGCCAGCTCTGGTTCTCCACGCTGAAGGGTTCTTTCCTGCCTTCCTGAAGGAGTTAAAAACCTTTGGAGATAAATTTGAGAGTTATATATTTAAAAATCAAATAGGAAGTTGGAGTCTCACTTCTGAGAGATTCATTCCTAGTGAGGCCCTGACGACTCCGATCCATTCCTGATGATCTGCATTAATTATTTAATGAGTCACGTGATCTCAAAGATTACAATTTCAATATCTCCCTGGAACAGGCGCTACACCTTTATCAGCTGCAGCCAGGATCCTTGTTTGGCTTTTTTGCTCCCCAGGCTTCAGGAGTGCATTCACCCTTGCCCTGATCCAGCAAGTGACTGCCGAGGAAGTAACAAGAGAGAAAATGAAATTGGTTATTCTGCATTGTAGACAGTGGGGAACCCACTGCTCTCTCTGGCACCCTGACATCCATCACATTCTGAATCTAGCAGTCAACCACCTGTCTGATCACCAAGAGTAGGGCAGTTTGGTTACATAATATACCAGGGCAGCTTTGATAGTGCATCAGGCAAGAACTTACCTTCTTCCAGGCTATACACACCTGTGGCCTTGCACATCAAGTATAAGCCTAAATGTATACCTTCCATTCCTGGAAGAATAACCTCAGCAGAGGGGAAAATGCCTGTACTTACTTTCATCTTCCGTGAGAGCAAAGGCCCTACTCAACCTACCTACTCATTTACACAAGGAACATCAGGATGGGAGATTATTCAGCTGCCTCAGTTTCCTCATTTGTGTAAATTGAAAAGATTGATCAAAAATGGTCTCCAGGTCTCTTTCAATTTGGGATCTCTTTCATCTTCAAAATTCAATCCTAGAGAGAAAAGGGCTGCTTCATAAGTCTGGAACTTTCAGAAGAAGGATGCCAAGAGTTCCAAGCCAGAAGCTGCAGACTAGATTTCCTGACAGCCCCAGCCACCTCCCTGATGCTACCAAGGAGATAAACCACACATCTCCTCCTCCTTCTGTTGTTTCCAGCCCATACTCTTTGAGGTACAAAGCAATTTTTCTCCAGTGTGTAATATAGAGAAGGGTTGCCAGGAGCAGCACTTGGAAAAGGTTGAACCTATGTTCTTCAACATAGGAGTGTGCCTAGGTATGTAGAGACCAAGCCTGGCTGAGGGTAGCCTATTTCGTACACAGAACCTATGCATTTGAATGGGGCACTTCAGATTTCTATTGCATTTGTTCTTTGGGATTTTTCTTTCCTTCCATTTTAAAGAGTCCCTGATCTATTTCTGTGCTGGAACTGTTAGAAAATAGCCATCAGTGACAAGAACAACAGATTTGGAAGCTCAGGGGAACAGGTGGATGCAGGAGAGATGATGATACCCACCCTATGGGGAGAAGGGTGAGAAGTGGGGGGAAAGGGGCACCTTGGGACAGGTGGATATAAAGGCAGAGACACTGCGGTAGGCCTGTCCCCATATATCTAGGTAATCTTCCCAAGAGCTCCATCTTGGGTATTAAGTACTCTACTATGCCTGTCACAGTTGAATTCCTGCTGTAATAAAACACCGGGTATATCGTAGATTTCAGCAAAATCAGGGAAGAAAGCCTGCAAAGTGCCATTTTTCTTCAAGGGGGAGAGTGTTAAATACTTAATTCAAACTGTGACCATTAAAGTGTCTCCTATCCTATTTAGGTTGATTTCAGATGTTGACAAAACTTTTATCTCCAAAGTCATGCACAACTTGGCTCTATGACTAAAGCAGATGAGTGTGTATTGAAGGAAGGGAGAGAGGAAAAGGGAGGGAACAGGAGAGCATGTGTAAGGGTCATTTTGTTAGGAGAATTATAGAGCTTACACAAAATACTGTCTTTAAAGGTCAAGGGTTTGAGGGGCTAGCATGGTTTGCCTTTAAAAAAGACAATTAATGAGATAGAAAATTTGTCCTCTCAGTGAACTCTTATGGTTGCCCTAGCAAAGGGCAGACAATGCAGGATTTTGAAACACAAAGTGAGATTTTTCCAAGCTGTTATAACAAGCTTCTTTTAAGGCCAAACCTGAAGCAGACAAAACAGTGCAAAGAAATGGCATAATCATTTGGATTACTTCCGATGATTTTGGTTTTATAAACCTCACAAATACCTTAATAATCAATTCATTTTGGGCAAAAGTGCCACTTTGTCCTGGAATATCAGAAAAATTATCTCAGTCCTCTCTTCCTTTTCTGGATATAAAAGCAAATGAAAGAAAGACATCCATTTTACCTCTATATCCAACATGGAGCTAAATTATCCAAACCCTTCCTCCCCACAAAGGAAATATAAGTATTTACCTTAAATGATGATAATCTGCCATTTGAGGTTTTGCAGCTTGACACTCAATTTCCACCAAGAGTTTAGGCTTTTTTTTTTTTTTGAGCAGACAACCAAGATGCTGTGTCTTTGCCTGAGACCACATTATTTGCAAGAAGATCCCTCTCTCCTTCACAGACTTTTCCCAGAGAATGCCTTTCAGAATTGCTGTTGAATTACAAAGAAGTATTTATTGTATGAGGTGATTAATGATTCCTGGGAAAATTGCTATTTTCAGCGTGATTTAATTTCGTTTTACAAGTACGTGTAGTAGGGGGAGGGTTAATAAGTTTCAGCAGCAGTTGCACTGCTTCCAGAAAAGCCTGGCACCCGTTCACACCTTATAAAATGCACTTTATGCTAGTTTTTTTTTTTTTTCTGACATGGTGTATTTGTTTGCCCCTGAATTTTTCTTGACCCCTCAGAGACTGGTGCCTATCACTTTTCTCTCTCAAATCTGGTTTGTTTGTAGGTTAAGAACAGATCAACCCTGCTTATATCACACACAAGGCGGCAGGGGTGAAAGGGGTACCAGCACCAATACTGTACCCTGCTGATGGAAAATTGGGTTTAAGAGTGCTCAGATGTTGTACAGGTAGGTGGACACCCGCTCCCATCTCTGTTACATTACTTCATGACCTAAAAACTTCACTTTTTCAAGGACAGATGACAGTTTTACCCTTCTTGCATCAGTATGCATCATCATCATTTCTGTATCTTTCTATAGGGTACTCTCTGCCTTGAGTGCAACCTGGACTCAGTTTACAAATACTAGAGTTATAGAGATCAAGAAGTGAGTTTTAATTTTCAACCTTTTGGATCTGGTTCTAGGAATTGAGAAGAAAGATCCCAAAGCATTTGAGGAAAGTGATTCTCATTTCAGAATTTGGCTTTATTCCAGCAGTGAACTCTTCCAGGTCTACTTTGCTTGAGGTACATTTTGGGGTGTCATTATGCTTTTATTTCCTCAGAAGATGTTTTGGAGGATGTACTGGGGAAAATCTCTTTTATTTTGAAAGCTCTTCTTAAATAAAAGAGAAACAAGCGAACAAAAATACCCAAGCTATACTTGGTGATGAGGTTCTTACAACCAGCCTAGAAACGAAAACCAATCTCAACCCTTTGCACAAACTATTTTTTTTTATCTCCAGGGAAACAGGCAGATTAAACGGGAAGGTGCAACAAATACCAAAGGGACCACTTCTTTCCAAGTGTGCTCAGAGTTCAGTGTGTAGAACAGCTGCAGAAACTCCTGGGCCCTGCTGCACTGCATGGTTTCACCTTTCATTGCAGGGAAGGACACGTTTCTATGCCTTACAGAGACTTGAAACCTGAAATCCTGGCCAAGTTTGGGAAGAAGAGGAGCCCTCTCAGAGCTCAAGAGCCTTCCTGCTCTTTGGAACATTTCCACAGCGGGTCAAGCCTGACAAGAGTTCAACTCAAGTTGAAAACACACACACACACACACACACACACACACACACACACACAAATTATGTGATCAGTCAGAATCTATGTTACACAGCTCAAGCCATCTACAAGGTTTTTACATGCAAAGGCAAACACTTCAATCCAGAAGTTTTTTTAATTATTATTTTTTAATGAAAAGTTTAGGAAACACACACATCTGTCTTTTAGATTTTTAATGTTTTTTAAAACAAAGTTTATTCTTGGCACATGGCTTTCTATACAGCCATATCACAATTTGTACAGTTGCACATGGATCTAAATGCATTCCCCTCTCCCTGGAGATTGTGTCCCTGAATAAGACAGTATCTCTTTAACAATATCTTAAATAAATGCAAGGAAGGGAAACTAATGGGCACACCTACCATCACACCTACACATTTTGAGAATTAAATAATCATGTGAGGCCCACAATGTCCACTCATTTATTCAGTTCAATTCACGGTTTGTGTGAGCTGCCCTAATGGAGAAGGAGGAGGTAAAGAGGGTGGGAAAAGGTCTGTTTTCCTCTTGCAACAAATATACAAGTACATTGTCTCCAGTCAGTATGTTATGTCCAGCTGACTTTAGACATCTTAAATATATGCGATGCCAAGTAGTTCTTCTCAGATATACAAACCCAGGCCAGCAGGTTGTGCCACCAAGCAGCAACCTGGACAAGTGTCCTCTCTTGGGTGGCAATCAGCACACACTCTTCCTGGGAGTAATGTCTTCTTTTTTGGTTATCCTTTTCACCAAGTTGGGCTTTGTTTTGGTGTCTGTTATGAACCAGATGGGGAGAGAGGGATGGAGAAATGGGCAGGAGCAGAGAGAAGAAAAACAGGTAAGGGACGTACAAGAAACTGACTAGGTCTCTAGAACATTATATGGAAGAGGGAATGGGTGTGGAGGAACCAGGAAGAGAGTGAGGATGAGGGTGTGGGCTCTGAGTTTGTGCTTTTCCTGGCGGGCCAGCAGAGGTCGAGGCCGGGTTGGAGGTTCGCATCTTGGTGTTGGGCAGTTTGTGATCTTTCTTCCACTTCATTCTCCGGTTCTGAAACCAGATCTTGACCTGGCGTTCGGACAAGCAGAGAGTGTGGGCTATCTCGATGCGGCGCCTCCGGGTCAGGTAGCGGTTAAAATGGAACTCCTTCTCCAGCTCCAAGACCTGCTGCCGGGTGTAGGCGGTTCGAGAGCGTTTGGGCTCCCCTCCATTATAACTGGGATTGACTGAATGCCCAGAACCCCGATGAAGAAGGCCAAGGAGGAAGAAGTGGAAGAGCGGGAAAGGAGGAGGAGAGAGAAGATAGGGTGGGGAAGAGCAATTGGACATCATCATTATATAATAACCTGACATCAAGTTCACGCAAGATACATAAAACGGCAAAGAAAATGTTTCACAGGCTATTGACAACGGGAAACACCCGAGAGCCATAAAGAATGGTGCTGGGCATTGGGGCTGAAGAAAAGCTTCAAAGACACATGGCCCGAAGCCTCTGCCAGGGCAATTAAATTTATGGGGGCTATAATTACTGCCCTAACAGTTTGGCGTCTCGTAAATCTCCCGATAAAGGGACCCTGGGTACAAAAGGGTTCTCACGTTTGGATCAGGCTGCAGCCTGGCGCGCACACACCCATATCCCCCAGCAGCCGGGGCCAGATGGGGGCTCCCCTCCTGAGGCCCCCTTCCCCCGGCCTTTCGCTCCTGACCCCCGACCCCACCCTCCAACCCTGGTCTGGCCCCAGCCCACCCTTCCGCCCCTCCCCAGCGGCGCCACGTACCGGCGCTGACATGGATCTTCTTCATCCAGGGGTACACCACGGGCTCCTTGCCCTTCAGGCCCGGCGGGCTCTTGTCCGCCAAGAGCAGCGGGCACGCGGGGGCGCTGCCCCCTGTCGGGACGCCTGGAGTGGCGGGGG